GACCTCCATTACAAAAGCCACTGAGTTGGTATACTCTTCTTTGTTCAAGGGTTGAGTTCAACCGACTACAGTGATCCTATGGGAAAAAACAAGGTCTCAATGCTATCCAAAAGTTTGTACCCTCCAAATGCTATAATTAACAATATTATATCTCTATTCATAGGCATCCCATACCCTCTAATCTGTTTCTCTTTCAGTGAGTTTTTACTCTGGAGCTGTTATACATTCATGTAAACTGTCAATAAACTCAGGCATACCTGCAATTGCTGTCAAACTAAATTCAGAAGGCACATTGGTCTCTGCCTCAACAGCAGCATTGGCTGCTGCAATTCCGCCACACTCTGAATAACATCTAAACCTGCACAAACAGAAGCAAGTGTCCCACCAACCAAGAATACAGACTCCAGTAAGCCTCACAACCGAAGCAGGAAGTGCAGGAATATGCATGGCAAAAAACTGAGAGCCTCCTTTTAGGTGCATAGCATCAGAATACCAACTTGAAGGAGAGCCTGAATTTACAATATCATATAACTTTCTACTGAATCCATATTGATGGTTCTCTCCACACCGATCTTCATGGAGTTCAGTCCTCCTTTAGAGCATAACATACCCACCCATTTATTCCAACTAACCAAACATTTTTTCTTAAGATTCTCTAATTTTCAAGGTAATATAAGATTTCAATAATCCAACATTCCTTGAAATAACGCATTCATAGAGAGCGTTTAGTTCAAGGAATGTTAGATTATTGGGAATGTTGGATTGCTGAAAAGATAGATTATCTTGAAATTACTGGAAATCTTTAGGAAATGTGTTTGGTTAGTGATTGGTATGTTATATTATGTTTGGTTTATGGGGAATAAATTGGTAGGTATGTTATTTAAACATAAATTGTCCCCTTTTAAATACTATATAATATTATTTATTATTATTTTGAATAATCTCTTTTAACCCCCATATTTCAGATTTAACTAAAACACCCCGCTTTATAAACTTTAATTTATGACGAAATCACCCTCACCCCCTGCAGCCACTGCAAACTGCCGCAAAAAGTCTCCGAAAGTCCCTGTGAGTATCTCACCGTGACCAAGAGGCTTCGATATGCCGTTTCTGGCCATTTGATGGTCGAAAACGGCCATATCAGGCTAGATCTGGCCGTTAACGGCCAGATCTGGCCATTATCTGCCAGATCTGGGCGAGACGGCTAAATCTATTCCGACCATATCGAAGCCTCTCGGAGCCTCCCACCGAATCTCGTTCTTTTTTAGGACTCCGACAACTTTCCGACGGCGGTCCGTGGTGGTTGGCTTGCTGTCGATGGTGGTGGTTGGGTGGCAGCTGGTGGTCTGTAAATTGTTTTAAATATTAAGGCATTATTGTCAAAAAATTTAATTAAACAAGGGTAAAATTGAAATAGGATACTAATGTAAATTTATTTTAAAATAGGGGCACTATTGTCAAAAATTTTATTAATAAGGGATAAAATTATTACAAAAAAAGATAACCCTAATAATCTTAGAATACCTAAGAAAATGGAGATAATCAGATTACCTCCAAAATTACCAATAGTAACCACTATTGGTATTTGAAGATTACCGGTATCTTATATTATTTGATAACCAAACATGATAATCAAGTAATATAAGATGACTTAACCACAGTAATCCTACATAGCCCCCAACCAAACACCCCCATAGTGTTATTCAGCTAGTAATATCATGTCAATAATGTAGAATTGCAGAGAACAGGGTCAAAAGCTCAAGTGAATAAAATTATTATCAAGCACAATTCTATCGCTTCTGTTTTGGAGTGGGATCTATCACAAGAGGTAAACATATGAACTCCATTTTCCACAAACATCCAGCTGCAACCAGGAAATTTCTTCACCTTCCCTCTCATTTGCTTCCTTACCCTCCCCATATCAGCTCAGTTTCCCTCTGCTGCATAGACATTAGCCAACTGCACATAAACGAGCCCCATCACCTCCTTCACTCCTGAGAATTTTCTCCTCTACCTCTCTAGCAAGTTTTGCATTCTTACTTAGCCTACACGCATTCAAAATTACCCCCGAGATTACTGGATCCTGTTCTATGGGAATCCTTTTCATGAACCCCATGGCCTTCTCCAGCTGATTTGCCCTTCCATACAGATCAATCATACATGCATAATGGTCTATCTCGGGCAAAATGTTGTAATCTACTGTCATGGAATTAAAATACTTTTCACCCAATTCTACCAAACCACAGTGACGACAAGCCGATAGGATTGCAAGAAATGTAACCATATTAGGTTTGATTCTGTTTCCTAACATTTCCTCAAACAACTGAATAGCTTTGATTTCATGCCCATGGTGAGCATAACCAGATATCATTACATTGTACAGGATTGTGTCACGTTCAGCAACACTTTGGAAAACTGTTTCTGCATATGTCAGATTCCCACATTTGGAATACATGTCAACTACCGTGCTAATCAATTTCTCATCCATCTCAAGACCCATTCTCAACATATAAGCATGTATCTCCATTCCAGGATTCAGGGCAGCTTGTAGCGCACAGGCGCCAAGCACACTGAAAAGAATCGGAGGTTCGAAAACCATTGCTCCCTTAGCCATAAAATCACTAAAAAGTGCAAATACAGGCTCGGATTGCCTTGCTTTGACATACCCAGAAAACAAAGCTGTCCAAACAACCACATTCTTCTCTGCTAATGAATCAAAAAACCTCCTAGCTTCCACCATGTTGCCTTGCGATGAATACCCCAGAATTAATGAAGTGATTGAAAATGGGTTCTCAACTCCACTCATCAAATGTATCAACTCAGCATACTTCATGTTTTCACACTTGCAGTACACATCAACAATGCCACTAGTAATGAATGGATTTGAAATAAATCGATTCTTCAAGGCCCAGGCATGAACTTCCTTCCCACACTTCAAACTTCTCAAACCAGAACAAGCACTCAAAACACTTGCAAATGTATGCTCATTCCATCCAACCCCATTCTCTGTCATACTAACAAACAACTTTAAACCCTCTTCCATATAACCATTCTGTACATAACCCCAAATCAAAGTATTCCAAGAAACCACATTATTCAACTCAGGTGCCGTCTGAAAGATCTTCAAAGCCATTTCCATCTCGCCTTCTCTACAACATGCTGCCACCATTGCGTTTTTGCAAACCAAATTAACCACGCCATCACTCCTATTGAAAACCCTATACGCATCCTCAAAACATGCACACTTTGAATACATATCAATAAGAGAACTCACAGCGAACCCACTAACATCCTCGCTCGTCTTCACCATAAACGTATGCAACTGTCTTCCATAACCTACATTCAATAACTTGGCACACAAGTTAAGCATTCTAGTAGCAGTAAACTCATCAATCTTTATATTTTCACACTCATTTTGCATTTCTTGAAACAAATTAAGCGCATCAGCTTCATACCCATCTGCACTCACATAACCAGATAACATTGAATTATAAGTTACCAAATCCTTGTGAGGAGCGGAGTCAAATAATGCCCGCGCTTGTTTTAAGTTCTGGGATTTTATATGGGCTGAAATCATCGTGTTCCATGAGACGACATTTCTCTCAGGCATTTCATCGAACAGTTTTTGAGATTCACATAAAAAGTTGTGTTTCGAGTAGACATGAATGAGCTGGTTTGTGGTGAAAGTGGGTAGCGTGAAACCGGCTTTAATGGCTTGTACATGGTACACTAGAGCATCTCTCAACGACCTCATATACACATATGCTTGTAGTATTAATAAAGCTTGAGCTTCAAGACCCAAATCCGAAGCCACAAAAGAGACCGTAAATTTGTACCTCAAGTTTTAACGTTCTAATCACGGTGTTAAAATAAAAAACAAACACGAGGGTTATTATATTAAACAAATTTACAATATTATAAAACACAACTAGATTTAAACTATATAAGAAAAAAATTGTATTTTTAGTGTACTGTTGAATTGATAATAGAATATAAGAGTATATAAATTATTCCGACAATATTTGAAATATATATCCCTTTTATTTCGTTTATCATTACTTTTAAATTATTCAAATATGTTAATTGAGTTTTATTATGTTATAATAAAATTAGTTTGTATAAAAAATCCTAAGATCTTTTGTTTTTGTTTGTTTTTTTTTTTTTTTTAACTAACCAATTTATGCGCATCTTGATTAATTCTTATGGGAGACTAACATAGACTCAGATAAGAAATCGAACTTGAGACTGTGCATCTATTCACATTATCCCCGATTACAAACCTCCACTGCCAACAGCAGGCCAAACACTGCAGACCGTCGTCCGAAAGTCGTTGAAGTCGCTAAAAATGACCGAGAGTCGCTGGAGGCTTCGGGAGGCTTTGATATGACCGTTTCTAGCCATATTGATGGCCGAAAACGGCCATATCAAACTAGATCTGGCCATTTCCGACAAGATCTAGTCTGATATGACTGTTTTCGACCATCAATATGGCCAGAAACAACCATATCGGAGCCTCCCGATCACAGTGGACTACTCAAGGCAATTTCTGATGGTGGTTTGCAGTGGTGGGGGTGATTTTGTTATAAATCAAAGTTTTATATAAGCAGGGGTGTTTTAGCTAAATCTGAAATATTGGGGGTTAAAAAAAATTCAAAAATTAATAATAAAAATAATATTATATTAATATTTAAAAAGAAAGCAATTTAGTAATTTAAACAAGGAAAATAATACAGTTACCGAAGAATACGTATCGAATTCATGTACCGAATGACGTAACACTATCCTAACAGTCTATTAATTATGAATTTCTTTTTTTAAGAAAACAAGATGAAGTTACATCATTCGGTGCATGAATTCGGTGTGCATTCTTCGATAACTACAGCATTACTCTTTAAATAACATACCCACTAATTTGTTCCTCCTAACCAAACATATTAATATAACATACCCACCCATTTATTAAAACTAACCAAACATTTTTTCTTAAAGATTTCCAGCAATTTTCAAGTTAATATAATATTTCAATAATGTAACATTCCGAGTAATCCAATCGCGCTCATAGTGTTATTCAGCTAGTAATATCATGTCAATAATGTAGAATTGCAGAGAACAGGGTCAAAAGCTGAAGTGAATAAAATTATTATCAAGCCCAATTCATGGAATATATCGCTTCTGTTTTGGAGTAGGATCTACCACCAGAGGTAAACATATGAACTCCATTTTCCACAAACATCCAGCTGCAACCAGGAAATTTCTTCACCTTCCCTCTCATTTGCTTCCTTACCCTCCCCATGTCAGCTCAGTTTCCCTCTGCTGCATAGACATTAGCCAACTGCACATAAACGAGCCCCATCACCACCTTCACTCCCAAGAATTTTCTCCTCTACCTCTCTAGCAAGTTTTGCATTCTTACTTAGCCTACACGCATTCAAAATTACCCCCGAGATTACTGGATCCTCTTCTATGGGAATCCTTTTCATGAACCCTAAGGCCTTCTCCAGCTGATTTGCCCTTCCATACAGATCAATCATACATGCATAATGGTCTATCTCGGGCAAAATGTTGTAATCTACTGTCATGGAATTAAAATACTTTTCACCCAGTTCTACCAAACCACAGTGACGACATGCCGATAGGATTGCAAGAAACGTAACCATATCAGGTTTGATTCCGTTTCTCAACATTTCCTCAAACAACTGAATAGCTTTGATTTCATGCCCATGGTGAGAATAACCAGATATCATTACATTGTACAGGATTGTGTCACGTTTAACAACACTTTGGAAAACTGTTTCTGCATATGTCAGATTCCCACATTGTGAATACATATCAACTACCGTGCTAATCAATTTCTTATCCATATCAAGACCCATTTTCAACATGTAAGCATGTATCTCCATTCCAGGATGCAGGGCAGCTTGTAGCGCACAGGCGCCAAGCACACTGACAAGAATCCGAGGTTCAGAAACCATTGCTTCCTTAGACAAATCACTAAAAAGTTCAAATACAGCCTCGTATTGCCTTGCTTTGACATACCCAGAAAACAAAGCTGTCACAACAACCACATTCTTCTCTGCTAATGAATCAAAAAACCTCCTAGCTTCCACCATGTTGCCTTGCGATGAATACCCCAGAATTAATTTAGTGATTGAAAATGAGTTCTCAACTCCACTCATCAAATATATCAACTCAGCATACTTCATATTTTCACATTTGTAGTACACATAAAAAATGCCACTAGTAATGAATGGATTTGAAATCAATCCATTCTTCAAGACACACGCATGAACTTCCTTCCCACACTTCAAACTTCTCAAACCAGAACAAGCTTTCAAAACACTTGCAAATGTACGCCCATTCCATCTAACTCCATCCTCTGCCATACTAACAAACAACTTTAAACCCTCTTCCATATAACCATTCTGTACATAACCCGAAATCAAAGTAGTCCAAGAAACCACATCATTCAACTCAGGCACCCTCCAAAAGATCTTCAAAGCCATTTCCATCTCACCTGCTCTACAACATGCTGCCACCATTGAGTTTTTGGTAACCAAATCAACCACTTCATAACTCCGATTGAAAACCCTATACGCGTCCTCAAAACATGCACACTTTGAATACATATCAATAAGAGAACTCACAGTAAACCCAGTAACATCAGCGCTCGTCTTCACCATAAACGTATGCAACTGTCTTCCATAACCTACATTCAACAACTTGGCACACAAATTAAGCATTCTAGTAACAGTAAACTCATCAATTTTCATATCTTCACACTCATTTTGCATTTCTCGAAACAAATTAAGCGCATCAGCTTCATACCCATCTGCACTCGCATAACCAGATAACATTGAATTATAAGTTACCAAATCCCTGTGAGGAGCGGAGTCAAATAATTCCCGCGCTTGTTTTAAGTTCTGGGTTTTTACATGGGCTGAAATCATTGCGTTCCATGAGGAGACATCTCGTTCAGGCATTTCATCGAACAGTTTTTGAGATTCATGTAAAAAGTTGTGTTTCGAGTAGACATGCATGAGCTGGTTTGTGGTGAAAGTGGGTAGCGTGAAACCGGCTTTAATGGCTTGTACATGGTACACTAGAGCATCTCTCAACGACCTCATATTCATATATGCTTGTAGTATTAATAAAGCTTTAGCTTCGAAACCCAAGTCCGCAGCCGCAAAAGAGAAGAATACACAAAGACGTGAAGTACGGTAAATTTCTATTCAAGTTTAATGTTCTAATCACTGATACTCTTTTAAGTCTATTGCCGTTTGGATGAGATTAATATTTGGTAATTGGGGTAATATTTTTAATTAAATTGAGTAGACAAAGATGTTTGATTGATTTATAAAAAATTATTCTCGAAATCTTTTATGACAAATAGTGGCATTTGGGAGGTAAGTTGCATGAAATATTATTACCTTGGGGTGCTGTTATTAAAACTTACTCAAGGTAATCCAATTTTGTGTCCCATATTGCTCCTAAATAGTTAAGCATTTTGTTCAAATTAGTTTTATATTTATTAAGATTTATAAAACACCCAATTCACTCATGCAGACTCTTTTGTCTTCACTTTTTAAAGTTTTCGGACGACATGGCCCTTGTTATTATCATTATTTACAAAAATCTCATTGTACCCAGAACTAGCCACCATCGCCAGCCACCGTCGACCGTCGTCGGAGGCTACCAAAAGTTGCTATAATGGCGTATGACCGGCCGTGCGCCGGTGAGGCTTTTTCCGACCATGGATCATCCATGGTCGAAAACGACTAGATCTATGGTTGTTTCACAGCTAGATCTGTGGCATTGTTAGTGGCCACCGACGGTGGTGGCTGATTGTCGGCAGTGGCTTGGGGTGGGTAGGGGTGCTTTTGTTAAGTTTAAAATGTTTTTGGTTGCTACGGTGTTTTTGCTAAATCTGAAAAGTAGGGGGTTAAAAGAATTATTCAAAAAATAATAATAAAAAATACTATTATATTAATATTTCAAAAAGAGGGCAATTTAGTAATCGACATAACATACCACCCATTTATCCTCCCAACCAAACATATTATTCACCAATTTATTCGAACCAATCAAACACATTTTCTAAACATTCCCAGTAATCTTTAAGATAATTTTTTATTCCATTAATATAATATCTCCCTATAATAAAATATTATATAATTCAAATGCTCTTTATATGTAATTATATTAAACAAATTTGTAGTATTATAAAAAACAAAGAGACTCATCTCCGAGTAGTCTAGATGGTTAAGACGAATTGAAGATAGTGTTGGTAGATGCACTATCTCAAGTTTGATTCCCTATATCACTATTAGCGATTTAAGTGGGGGATTGTGAGAGTAAGTTATTACACCAATATCCCTCAAAGATTAGTCGAGATGCACGTAAATTGACTCAAACAGCTTGGTTTAAAAAAAAAAAAAAAAAAAAAAGGTGATTTAAAAGATACAAGAAAACAAAAATAATTTTAGTGTATTGTTGAATTGATAATAGAATATAAGAATATAGAAACTATTCCGACAATATTTGACCGAATTTACTTTACTTTTAAATTATTCAAATATGTTATAATGAATGTGTTTCATTATGTTATAATGAAATCAGTTTGTATAAATGATGTTATAATGAAATCAGTTTGTATAAATGAGTTTGTATCAAAACTTCTACATATAATATCACCAAAATATAAATGATAACACAATATAAACATAATAACTAAGTAAGAAGACTCTACTTGTTAATCCACTCGGCTTCACATTGGAGAAGCTCATTTTTTTTATTGTATAAATGAGGTTGTATCAAAACTTCATACATATAATATCATCAAAATATAAGGCTCCGTTTGATACACTCTTCCAAATATTATTCTGGTTTTCTCAATAAAGTTAAACAGTAAAATTGGCTTATTCTCAAAATATTATTCTATATTATTCAATTTCTTATAAACCCCCTGAATTTGTTAATTTAACTAAACATCCCCAATTTTTTTTTTAGAAATTGCAAAAACACCACAACAACCCACATTTACCAGATTCCGGCCACCACTACCGGAAGCTGACTGGAATCTGGTATAATGACGCACTACCGACTGAATCTGACCGATAGTGCACCGATCTAGCCGTAGCCAGTCGTCAACAACAGCCAAGATATGGTTATCGTTGACCATCAACAACGGTCGTATCTTTGGCCGTTGTTGACAACCAAATGCGGCCAGATCTGGTCGTCAATGGCTAGATCTAGTGGTAGATCTGACATTTTTCGGCTAGATCCACCGTGGATCTGGCCGAAAAAGGCCATATCGACTCACGACCGACAAGATCCAACCAATCATGCGTTGATACGGCTCTCCGGCCACCCTCCTGCAGTGGTGGCCAGCTGTCTGTATTTAATGGGTGGATTGGGGTGTTTTTGTTAACTTTTAATATTTTATTATAGGGGTGTTTAGTAAATAAACAAACATAGGAGATATTTTTGTTAATTTTTAAATCTTACATCATAATACCTATCCAATTTAACTTTTTTTCAAAATATTATTCTAAAAAGTATCAGAATAATGAACCAAATGAACTCTAAATGATAACACAATATAAACATAATAACTAAGTAAGAAGACTCTACTAGTTAATCTATTAGGCTTCACATTAGAGAAGCTCATTTTTTTTAGGCAAATGTAAGCCATGGTCATGAATAAGAATGGAACTCAAGAGAGACAAATCAGTTTCAGAAAAGTTGAAGAAATATTGCTGTATAATTCTACGTACTTCAAGCACAAAAGGGTGTATCAATTTATGCACCGGAAGCAGATAATAAACTAGCCATGCATGTTCTACAACTCCAATCTGAAAAATGATGACCAGAAAACAAAGACACTGAGTTGGTATACTCTTCTTTGTTTCAAGGGTTGAGTTCAACCGACTTACAGTGATCCTATGGGAAAAAAACAAGGTCTCAATGCTATCCAAAAAGTTTGTACCCTCCAAATGCTATAATTAACAATATAATATATCTCTATTCATAGGCATCCCATTACCCTCTAATCTGTTTCTCTTTCAGTGAAGTTTTTACTCATGGAGCTGTTATACATTCATGTAAACTGTCAATAAACTCAAGCATACCTGCAATTGCTGTCAAACTAAATTCAGAAGGCACATTGGTCTCTGCCTCAACAGCAGCTTTGGCTGCTGCAATTCCTACTGCCACACTCTGAATAACATCTAAACCTGCACAAACAGAAGCAAGTGTCCCACCAACCAAGCAATCACCAGCTCCAGTAAGCCTCACAACCGAAGCAGGAAGGGCAGGAATATGCATGGCAAAAAACTGAGAGCCTCCTTTTAGGTGCATAGCATCAGAATACCAACTTGAAGGAGAGCCTGAATTTACAATATCATATAACTTTCTACTGAATCCATATTGATTGGTTCTCTCCACACCGATCTTCTTGGAGTTTAGTCCTCCTTTAGAGCATAACATACCCACCCATTTATTCCAACTAACCAAACATTTTTTTCTTTAATATTCTCAGTAATTTTCAAGGTAATATAAGATTTCAATAATCCAACATTCCTTGAAATAAACGCATTCGTAAGGGGCGTTTAGTTCAAGGAATGTTAGATTACTGAGAATGTTGGATTACTAGAAAGATAGATTATCTTGAAAATTACTGGAAATCTTTAGGAAAATGTGTTTGGTTAGTTGATGGGTATGTTATATTAATATGTTTGGTTATGGGGAATAAATTGGTAGGTATGTTATTTAAATCACTAAATTGTCCCCTTTTTAAATACTAATATAATATTATTTTTATTATTATTTTTGAATAGTTTCTTTTAACCTCCAATATTTCAGATTTAACTAAAACACCCCGCTTATATAAAACTTTAATTTATGACGAAATCACCCTCACCCCCTGCAGCCACCGCAAACTGCTGCCAAAAGTCTCCGAAAGTCTCTGTGAGTATCTCACCGTGACCAAGAGGCTCCGATATGGCCGTTTCTGGCCATATTGATGGTCGAAAACGGCCATATCAGGCTAGCTCTGGCCGTTAATGGCCAGATCCCTGGCCATTATCTGCCAGATCTGGGCGAGACGGCCAGATCTATTCCGACCATATCGAAGCCTCCCGGAGCCTCCCACTGAATCTCGTTCTTTTTTAGGGACTCCGAGAACTTTCCGACGGCGGTCCGTGGTGGTTGGCTCACTGTTGATGGTGATGGTTGGGTAGCAGTGGTGGTCTGTAAATTGTTTTAAATATTAAGGCATTATTGTCAAAAAATTTAATTAAACAAGGGTAAAATTGAAATAGGATACTAATGTAAATTTATTTTAAAATAGGGGCACTATTGTCAAAAATTTTATTAATAAGGGATAAAATTATTACAAAAAAAGATAACCCTAATAATCTTAGAATACCTAAGAAAATGGAGATAATCAGATTACCTCCAAAATTACCAATAGTAACCACTATTGGTATTTGAAGATTACCGGTATCTTATATTATTTGATAACCAAACATGATAATCAAGTAATATAAGATGACTTAACCACAGTAATCCTACATAGCCCCCAACCAAACACCCCCATAGTGTTATTCACCTAGTAATATCATGTCAATAATGTAGAATTGCAGAGAACAGGGTCAAAAGCTCAAGTGAATAAAATTATTATCAAGCACAATTCTATCGCTTCTGTTTTGGAGTGGGATCTATCACAAGAGGTAAACATATGAACTCCATTTTCCACAAACATCCAGCTGCAACCAGGAAATTTCTTCACCTTCCCTCTCATTTGCTTCCTTACCCTCCCCATGTCAGCTCAGTTTCCCTCTGCTGCATAGACATTAGCCAACTGCACATAAACGAGCCTCATCACCTCCTTCACTCCTGAGAATTTTCTCCTCTACCTCTCTAGCAAGTTTTGCATTCTTACTTAGCCTACACGCATTCAAAATTACCCCCGAGATTACTGGATCCTGTTCTATGGGAATCCTTTTCATGAACCCCATGGCCTTCTCCAGCTGATTTGCCCTTCCATACAGATCAATCATACATGCATAATGGTCTATCTCGGGCAAAATGTTGTAATCTACTGTCATGGAATTAAAATACTTTTCACCCAATTCTACAAAACCACAGTGACGACATGCCGATAGGATTTCAAGAAACGTAACCATATTAGGTTTGATTCTGTTTCTCAACATTTCCTCAAACAACTGAATAGCTTTGATTTCATGCCCATGGTGAGCATAACCAGATATCATTACATTGTACAGGATTGTGTCACGTTTAACAACACTTTGGAAAACTGTTTCTGCATATGTCAGATTTCCACATTGTGAATACATATCAACTACCGTGCTAATCAATTTCTTATCCATACAAAGACCCATTTTCAACATGCAAGCATGTATCTCCATTCCAGGATTCAGGGCAGCTTGTAGCGCACAGGCGCGAAGCACACTGACAAGAATCAGAGGTTCAGAAACCATTGCTTCCTTAGACAAATCACTAAAAAGTTCAAATACAGCCTCGTATTGCCTTGCTTTGACATACCCAGAAAACAAAGCTGTCCAAACAACCACATTCTTCTCTGCTAATGAATCAAAAAACCTCCTAGCTTCCACCATGTTGCCTTGCGATGAATACCCCAGAATTAATTTAATAATTGAAAATGAGTTCTCAACTCTACTCATCAAATATATCAACTCAGCATACTTCATATTTTCACATTTGTAGTACACATTAAAAATGCCACTATTAATGAATTTATTTGAAATCAATCCATTCTTCAAGACACACGCATGAACTTCCTTCCCACGCTTCAAACTTCTCAAACCAGAACAAGCTTTCAAAACACTTGCAAATGTACGCTCATTCCATCTAACTCCAGCCTCTGCCATACAAACAAACAACTTTAAACCCTCTTCCATATAACCATTCTGTACATAACCCGAAATCAAAGTAGTCCAAGAAACCACATCATTCAACTCAGGCACCCTCCAAAAGATCTTCAAAGCCATTTCCATCTCACCTGCTCTACAACATGCTGCCACCATTGAGTTTTTGGTAACCAAATCAACCACTTCATAACTCCGATTGAAAACCCTATACGCGTCCTCAAAACATGCACACTTTGAATACATATCAATAAGAGAACTCACAGTAATCCCACTAACATCAGCGCCCGTCTTCACCATAAACGTATGCAACTGTCTTCCATAACCTACATTCAACAACTTGGCACACAAATTAAGCATTCTAGCAACAGTAACCTTATCAGTTTTCATATCTTCACACTCATTTTGCATTTCTCGAAACAAATTAAGCGCATCAGCTTCATACCCTTCTGCACTCGCATAACCAGATAACATTGAATTATAAGTTACCAAATCCCTGTGAGGAGCGGAGTCAAATAATTCCCGCGCTTGTTTTAAGTTCTGGGTTTTTATATGGGCTGAAATCATTGCGTTCCATGAGAAGACATTTCGTTCAGGCATTTCATCGAACAGTTTTTGAGATTCATGTAAAAAGTTGTGTTTCGAGTAGACATGTATGAGCTGGTTTGTGGTGAAAGTGAGTAGCGTGAAACCGGCTTTAATGGCTTGTACATGGCACACTAGAGCATCTCTCAACGACCTCATATTCATATATCCTTGTAGTATTAATAAAGCTTTAGCTTCGAGACCCAAGTCCGCAGCCGCAGAAGAGAAGAATACACATAGACGTGAAGTACGGTAACTTTCTATTTCAAGTGTAATGCTCTAGTCACTGTGTTAAAATAAACAATAAATCATCTGATACTCCTTTAACGCTTCTATGACAAGGAGCCGTTTAGATAATTGTGGTAATATTTTTTAAATTGAGCAAGGAGTTATAAAAAATTGAGCCGTTTAGATAGTGGTGGTTAGTTGCCGGTAATGGCTTGAGGTCGCGGTGTTTTTGTTAAGTTTAAAATGTTTTTGGTTGTTAGGGTGTTTTTGCTAAATCTGAAAAGTAGGGGGTTTAAAAAAATAATAATAAAAAATACTATTATATTAATATTTAAAAAGAAAGGCAATTTAGTAATCTATATAATAACATATCCACCCATTTATCCTCCCAACCAAACATATTATTCACCAATTTATTTGAACCAATTAAACACATTTTTTAAACATTATCAGTAATCTTCAAGGTAATTTTTTATTTCGTTAATATAATATCTCCCTATAATAAAACATTATATGATCCAAACACTCTTTATAGGTAATTGTATTAAACAAATTTACAGTATTATAAAAAACAAAGAGATCCATATCTAAGTAGTCTAGATGGTTAAAGCAAATTGAAGATAGTGTAGATAGATGCACTATCTCAAGTTTGATTCCCCATATCACTATTAGTGATTTAAGTGAGGGACGACCGGAAGAGTGAGTTATTACACTAGTATCCCTCGAAGATTAGTTAAGGCGCACGTAAGTTAACTCAAACACCTTGGTTTAAAAAATTAAAAAAAGAAATGTGATTTAAAAGATATAAGAAAAACAAAAATATTTTTAGTGTATTGTAGAATTGATAATAGAGTATAAGAATATGGAAACTATTCCAACAATATTTGACCTAATTTACTTTACTTTTAAATTATTCAAATATGTTATAATAAAATCAGTTTATATAAATGAGTCTGTATAAGAACTTCTACATTTAATATCACCAAAATATAAATGATGACACAAAATAAACATAAATAACTAAGTAAGAAGACTCTACTAGTTAATCTATTAGGCTTCACATTGGAGAAGCTCATTTTTTATAGGCAAATGTAAGCCATGGTCATGAATAAGAATGGAACTCAAGAGAGACAAATCAGTTTCAGAAAAGTTGAAAGGGGGGAATGAAGAAATATTGCTGTATAATTCTAAACACTTAAAGCACAAAAGGGTGCATCAATTTATGCACTGGAAGCAGATAATAAACTAGCCATGCATGTCTACAACTCCAAACTGCAAAATGGCGACCAGAAAACAAAGATGAGCATCTTGGAGGGTTTTCATTCTCCTGTCAAGTCTAATAATTGGAACAAGTCATCTAGTCCCATGTTCACCATTGTTTACAGCATTGAATGATGGTAGAGAACTTTGGAACCGGCATACACCGTCCTTGCATCATCTGCACAAAAGGATTTCACAAAAATACAGTGTTATTCAGCTAGTAATATAATGTCAGTAATGTAGAATTGCAGAGAATAAAAGTATTATCAAGCGCAAATGCGCAATTCATACCATGTGAAATGTTCTGTGCCACTTTCTCTTCCATTTGGATCAAGGGTTTGCCGGAGTAATGAACACTTATATTCAACTCAGTTTTGTTCTACTCCAAATTACACATAAAATGGGGCCTCCATTACAAAAGCCACTGAGTTGGTATACTCTTCTTTGTTTCAAGGGTAGAGTTCAACCGACTTACAGTAATCCTATGGGAAAAAAACAAGGTCTCAATGCTATCCAAAAAGTTTGCACCCTCCAAATGCTATAATTAACAATATAATGTATCTCAATTCATGGGCATCCCATTATAACGGAAGCAACAAAAAATCAAGCAAATCCCTCAAATCAAGCAGAGAAAGTGGAAACAGATTCTTAACCTAAAATCAAGGGTGTAACAGCAATCAAATATTGCATTTATTTCTCTGTAACAGTTAGCGTTTACTCTAGGATTCTTACTTAGAATAGCTTTTGAAATTTTGTATTTGTTTTATGATATACGACTGTAATTGCTGTGTGTAAAAATTCTAATAGTTGAGCAGTAATACAATTTGAGAATTCTCAAACTCCATCATGGTATTGTTATCCAACACCCTCCTAAATAACAAATCACCGTTTGAGATATTATTTCATTAGCCACCAAATTATCTCAAACGCAAAAAATTCGGGTGCTTGTGTTTTCCCCTCACCAAGCTGTACAACACCAATAGGCTCCAACCCAAAGCTACCCCTTGTCTCTTCATGAGCTATTCCTCAACCTAGAATGCTTACAAATGCCTTGACCCAAAAGCCCAAAAACTCTATATGTCAAGGCACATCCTGTTCAATGAAACCCAAACCTATCCCCATCTTCATTCGGTCAAGCCACAACCCCCATTGTCTTCTCCCTCGTTTGCGACAACAGGGTCACCCATCGTTGTGCCGTCTTTGTCGGACCAACCACCAGAATTTTCGCGTCATCCTCAAGTAACTGCCCCATTTCTTCTACTTCTAATTTTTGAGAAATGCATTCTTCCTCTTCTTGCCCTAATTCATCTCAATCTCATGAAAATTTGTCTTCTCACTCACATTCACACACAACTCAAGCTAACACAAACCGAAATTGCGCATGATGACCAACAAATTGAACCTACCCTGCAAAACCCTAACCGAACCTACCCAATGACCACACGGTCAATGAACAACATTCACAAACCGAAACAGTTCAATTGCGTGACCAAACATCCTCTTCCATCAACCATTGAAGCTACTTGTGTGGGACAAGCACTTTGTGAACCTCACTGGAGACAAGCTATGTCCGAAGAACTTACTGCACTGATGCATCATGGAACATGGGAATTGGTTTCCCCACCTAAGAACGGTAATCCTGTGGGGTGTAAATGGATGTTTAGGATGAAAAGAAAATCAGATAGGTCAGTTGATCGCTCTAAAGCGAGGCTTGTTGCAAAAGGGTTTAATCAACGTGAAGGGATAGACTACAAAGAACATTTAGTCCGGCTGTAACAACTGCAACCATTAGAATTGTTTTGATAGTAGTTGTAATGAAGGGGTGGTCCTTGAGACAATTAGATGTTAATAACGCATTTCTGCATGGCTAGTTAACTGAGACAGTATACATGGTCCAACTGTCGGGGTTTAAAGATGCTACCAAACCAAATCATGTGTGCAGAAAAGGCTATTTATGGTCTAAAACAGGCCCCAAGAGCCTGGTATACAGCTCTTAAATTGGCCATAGTGGGTCTCGGATTTCAAAATTCCAAAGCCGATTCATCACTTTTCATCTACTGCCTGAACTCTGTTACATGCTATTTATTAGTATATGTGGATGATTTGGTTATAAGTGGCAATGATACAAAATTTGTGGCTGAGATTATTGCACAACTTGGAAATTGTTTTTCTTTAAAAGTCATGGGGCAGCTCAATTTTTTCTTGGGAATGGAGGTCATTCCAACAAAAATTGGAATTTTCCTATCTCAACAAAAGTATATCCGAGACCTCTTGTCTACAAACATGGCTGGTGCAAAGGATGCCTCAACCCCCCTGTCAACAAGTATAGCTTTGAAGTTGATGGATGGAACATCTTCCACAAACAACACTGAGTTTAGAAGTGTCATTGGTGCACTTCAATACCTGTCCCTCACCCGCCCGGATATCTCCTTCGCAGTATATAAACTTTCACAATTTATGCACAAACTAACAGTGACTCATTGGACAGTTGCGAAGCAATTACTTCGCTACATAAAGCAAACCATTTTTCATGGACTTTATATCAGAAAAAGATCAAGGAACTCGCAACATACTCTGATGCGGATTGGGCGAGAAAGTTTGATGATCGAACCTCCACTTCAGCATATATAAGCTTTCTTGGTGCAAACCCAATTTCTTGGAGTTCAAAGAAGCAAAGGGCAGCAGCACGATCATCCATTGAAGCCGAATACAGAGCCTTGGCAAATGCAGCTTCAGAAACCGTGTGGTTACTTTCACTATTCAAAGAACTCGGTATTCCAATGCGCAACAAACCTAAACTGCTATGTGATAATTTGGGGGCCACACACCTTAGTTTCAATCCCGCGCAACACTAAAAAATGAAACACATTTAGATTGATCTTCATTTTGTGCGGGACATGGTCCAACGTGGAAATCTCAATGTTCACCATGTGAACACAGAGGACCGGTTAGCTGACCTTCTAACAAAAGCACTTTCACGTCAAAGAACAGAAATGCTGAGAAACAAGATAGGCTTAGCTGATGGCAGCTCTATCTTGCGGGGGCGTATAATGGAAGCAACCAAAAATCAAGCAAATCCCTCAGATCAAGCAGAGAAAGTGGAAACAGATTCTTAGCCTAAAATCAAGGGTGTAATAGCAATCAAATATTGCATTTATTTCTCTGTAACATCTAGCATTTATTCTAGGATTCTTACTTAGAATAGCTTTTGAAAATTTGTATTTATTCTTTGATATACAACTGTACTTGCTGTGTGTAAAAATTCTGAAAGTTGAGTAGTAATACACTTTGAGAATTCTCAAACGTCATCACTCATTACCCTTTATTATGTTTCTCTTTCAGTGAAGTTTTTACTCATGGAGCTGAAAACAGCCATATCAGACTAGACCTGGTCATTAACAACCATATCTATTCCGGCCAGAATAGATCTGGCCATTTCCAACCAAATCTAGTATGATATGGCCAAAATAGATCTGACCATTTCTAGCCAAATCTAATATGATATGGCCGGTTTTGGCCATCAATATGGCCAAAAATGGCCATATCGAAGCCTCCCGATCACGATGGACTACTCACGGTGACTCCAAGTGGTGGTTTGCAGTGGCGACAGGCAACGGCAGGGTGGTGCGAGTGATTTTGTTATAAATTAAAGCTTTATATAAGCGGGGTAGAATTGCAGAGAACAGGGTCAAAAGCTGAAGTGAATAAAATTATTATCAAGCACAATTCATGGAATATATCGCTTCTGTTTTGGAGTAGGATCTACCACCAGAGGTAAACATATGAACTCCATTTTCCACAAACATCCAGCTGCAACCAGGAAATTTCTTCACCTTCCCTCTCATTTGCTTCCTTACCCTCCCCATGTCAGCTCAGTTTCCCTCTGCTGCATAGACATTAGCCAACTGCACATAAACGAGCCCCATCACCACCTTCACTCCCAAGAATTTTCTCCTCTACCTCTCTAGCAAGTTTTGCATTCTTACTTAGCCTACACGCATTCAAAATTACCCCCGAGATTACTGGATCCTGTTCTATGGGAATCCTTTTCATGAACCCCATGGCCTTCTCCAGCTGATTTGCCCTTCCATACAGATCAATCATACATGCATAATGGTCTATCTCGGGCAAAATGTTGTAATCTACTGTCATGGAATTAAAATACTTTTCACCCAGTTCTACCAAACCACAGTGACGACATGCCGATAGGATTGCAAGAAACGTAACCATATCAGGTTTGATTCCGTTTCTCAACATTTCCTCAAACAACTGAATAGCTTTGATTTCATGCCCATGGTGAGAATAACCAGATATCATTACATTGTACAGGATTGTGTCACGTTTAACAACACTTTGGAAAACTGTTTCTGCATATGTCAGATTCCCACATTGTGAATACATATCAACTACCGTGCTAATCAATTTCTTATCCATATCAAGACCCATTTTCAACATGTAAGCATGTATCTCCATTCCAGGATGCAGGGCAGCTTGTAGCGCACAGGCGCCAAGCACACTGACAAGAATCCGAGGTTCAGAAACCATTGCTTCCTTAGACAAATCACTAAAAAGTTCAAATACAGCCTCGTATTGCCTTGCTTTGACATACCCAGAAAACAAAGCTGTCCAAACAACCACATTCTTCTCTGCTAATGAATCAAAAAACCTCCTAGCTTCCACCATGTTGCCTTGCGATGAATACCCCAGAATTAATTTAATAATTGAAAATGAGTTCTCAACTCTACTCATCAAATATATCAACTCAGCATACTTCATATTTTCACATTTGTAGTACACATTAAAAATGCCACTATTAATGAATTTATTTGAAATCAATCCATTCTTCAAGACACACGCATGAACTTCCTTCCCACGCTTCAAACTTCTCAAACCAGAACAAGCACTCAAAACACTTGCAAATGTACGCTCATTCCATCTAACTCCAGCCTCTGCCATACAAACAAACAACTTTAAACCCTCTTCCATATAACCATTCTGTACATAACCCGAAATCAAAGTAGTCCAAGAAACCACATCATTCAACTCAGCCGCCCTCCAAAAGATCTTCAAAGCCATTTCCATCTTACCTTCTCTACAACATGCTGCCAGCATTGGGCTTTTGGTAAAAAAATCAACCACTTCAGAACTATTGAAAACCCTATACGCGTCCTCAAAACATGCACACTTTGAATACATATCAATAAGAGAATTCACAGTAATCCCACTAACATCAGCGCTCGTCTTCACCATTAACGCATGCAACTGTCTTCCATAACCTACATTCAACAACTTGGCACACAAATTAAGCATTCTAGCAACAGTAACCTTATCAGTTTTCATATCTTCACACTCATTTTGCATTTCTCGAAACAAATTAAGCGCATCAGCTTCATACCCTTCTGCACTCGCATAACCAGATAACATTGAATTGTAAGTTACCAAATCCCTGCGAGGAGCGCAGTCAAATAATTCCCGCGCTTGTTTTAAGTTCTGGGTTTTTATATGGGCTGAAATCATTGCGTTCCATGAGGAGACATTTCGTTCAGGCATTTCATCGAACAGTTTTTGAGATTCATGTAAAAAGTTGTGTTTCGAGTAGACATGAATGAGCTGGTTTGTGGTGAAAGTGAGTAGCGTGAAACCGGCTTTAATGGCTTGTACATGGCACACTAGAGCATCTCTCAACGACCTCATATTCATATATGCTTGTGGTATTAATAAAGCTTTAGCTTCGAGACCCAAGTCCGCAGCCGCAAAAGAGAAGAATACAAATAGACGTGAAGGACGGTAAATTTCTATTTCAAGTTTAATGTTCTAATCACTGTGTTAAAATAAACAATAAATCATCTGATAGTCCTTTAACGCTTCTATGACTATGAGCGGTTTAGAAAATTGTGGTAATATTTTTTAAATTGAGCGAGGAAGGTGTTTGGTTGATTTATAAGAAATTATTCTCTAAATCTTTTATGAAAAATAGTGGTATTTGGGGGGTAAGTTGTCTGGAATATTATTACCTTGGGGCGCTTATTAAAACTTACTTAAGGTAATCCAAGTTTGTGTCCCATATTGCCCCTAAATAGTTAAGTATTTGGTCCAAATTAGCATTATATTTGTTAAGATTTACAAAACACTCAATTCACTCATACAGACCCTTTTGTCTTCACTTTTTAAAGTTTTTGGACGACATTGCCCTTGTTATTATCATTATTTATAGAAATCTCATTGTACCCAGAACAAGCCACCATCGCTAGCCACCGTCGACCACTGCCAGAGGCTATCAAAAGTTACTATAATGGCGTATGGTTGGTTGTGCGCCGGTGAGACTTTTTCGTGATCTATGGTCGGAAACGGCTAGATCTATGGCTGTTTCACGGCCAAATCTGTGGCATTTTTGGTGGCCACCGACAGTGGTGGCTGGCTGCCGGTAGTGGCTTGAGGTAGGTCGCGGTGTTTTTGTTAAGTTTAAAATGTTTTTGGTTGCTAGGATGTTTTTGCTAAATCTGAAAAGTAGGGGGTTAAAAAATTATTCAAAAAATAATAATAATAAATACTATTATATTAATATTTAAAAAGGAGGGCAATTTAGTAATCTATATAACATATCCACCTATTTATCCTCTCAACCAAACATATTATTCACCAATTTATTCGAACCAATTAAACACACTTTTTAAACATTCTCAGTAATCTTCAAGGTAATTTTTTATTCCGTTAATATAATATCTCTCTATAATAAAATATTATATGATCTAAATACTCTTTATAGGTAATTGTAT